ACAATGTTAAGACAGCTGTCTGTGATATCCCACCCCGTGGCCTGAAGATGGCCGTTACCTTCATTGGCAACAGCACGGCTATCCAGGAGCTGTTCAAGCGCATCTCGGAGCAGTTCACGGCCATGTTCCGGCGCAAGGCCTTCCTGCACTGGTACACCGGCGAGGGCATGGATGAGATGGAGTTCACCGAGGCCGAGAGCAACATGAATGATCTGGTGTCCGAGTACCAGCAGTACCAGGATGCCACGGCTGACGAACAGGGGGAATTTGAGGAGGAGGAGGGCGAGGATGAGGCTTAAGTTCACAGGTCACAGGTTAGGGAAAATCGAGAAGGAAAGCAAGGGGGAGGGGGGCTTACTGGTGAAAATATCTTGGCAATTGACGGAAAGAAGCATGGTCTGCTTTAGGTGTGTGCGCTGGTTCTCTGGTGCTCTTCACTATTGCCTGTCATTTTTTTTTTCTTTTTGTAATAATGATGACATCACTGTAACATTTGAGGTATTTCTGAACTACTGTTGTTATGGCTAAAATTACATAAACGTTTGTGTCCTAATGGGCCTCTTTTCTCTTTCATCTTTGTTGAGTGATTATCAATTTAAATGTAACTTACAGAACACATAATATAAAATTCTTCCTTTAGGAAAAAGAATGGATAGATAAAAGTTCAAATGTATTTACTCCAGTGTGGTAAAATTGAACCAACCACAATCATACCCAATTTAAGGTGGGAAATCAAGCCAAATGTTAAAATGTCTTTAAGTAAATATTTTATTAGTTGAAAGGATGCCTACCTGAAAGCACACTAAATGTATTTTCATGTAGAAATCCTACTATCCCTCTATTTCCTTTCAAAAACTTTTTTTTGAATATTACTACATCCACACAGCACAAAATTCTAAAAGCTAGGGAGTGAAAAGTAAGTTTCTCTTCCATATACTTCAGACCTATGTAGATTCTCTTTTTTCTTTCTTCACACATCATGGTACTAACACTGTTCTCTTGCCTTTTTTTTTTACTAAATAGCATATCTTTAAAATACAGAGAGCTTTTTTAAATGAATACATAGTATTCATATGTAGTCATGCCATATTTTTAACCAATTCTCTCCAATGGACATGTAGATTGTTTATATTTTTTCTTATAGTGTCACAATAAATAATTTTGTGCATATGATTGCATATATCAGAATAGCTATTCTGTAAGTTTCTCGAAGTGGAATTTTCTATCAAAGGATATATACTATGCCCTTTTGAGTAAATGAAATTGCCTATACTTAGGAATAGCCATAGATTTATAAATTATTAATATACTAAAATTCTTAAACAAGTTTTCTTCCCATCAATCATGTTTATACAACATAAGAAACTATTTGTATATAAGTTAATTACATTTGAATTTATATGAAAGTATAAATTCTGCATTATTGGTGAATTTTACTTTAAATAGGCAAGCCACAATAATTTTCACAGTTTATTGCGTTCTTACCATGCAGAGCTGGGATTTAGGATTTGAACATAAGCCTGCCTCTAGACTTGAGAACCACTAAAGAAGCCATGGGATTTCAACAAGTGATTTTCAGTTAAGATCATATACTTCTATGGGATAAATCATACTTTTTCAAAATGAGGCCAATGCGCTGCCTTTATCTGGGCTAGTTTCCTATTTTGCAAAGAGAAGTAAAGTGTAAGTTATAAACAAATGTACAAAACTTATTTATGTACCACTATAGGAAGAAAAGAATCAAGATAACTGTAGGTTTATAGTTTTTCTATTTTTAGGCAAATTCAAAATTGGAAAAAATATTACTTTATATCATACCCTATATTTCTTTCTATTTGGTTCTACTCCTACTTAAGTGTTTTTAAAAAAGAAAAAGAAGAAGAAAGATGAGGGGCAGATACGGATTTCCCTATTAAAGAGGCTGTCCTATAGTTGAAAATAGCTTCAAACAAAAAGTGAGTAGTGTCATTCTAAATCGTGTGAAAATAAGTTAATTGTACCAAGTGGCCCCCATAAATCAAAAAGAACAGTAGTTCACTTTACAAGTATTATATATTTTATATATTATATATATTACATATAACACAAGTATTATATATATAGAAACTAGACCTAGTGCTGAGTAGGGGCAAACAGGTCAGGACATGGTGGCTTCTCCTCCATTTTTCTATATTTAACAGTGAACTGGCAGGTGCCATTCCTGATGAGCTGGTGTAAAGCTTCCAACAACTTAATTGAAGGGTAACATTGGTTTTAAATGACCTGAAGACTTGGATCAGCTGCCAGGGCCCCCTGGATTTATCCTTGACCATGCATTCCCCACAACCTGTCAGACGCATGATCGGTAACTTTGGAGAAGAGAGGAATTGCTGCCAGGTGCCTCTTGGCATACTGTAAGTATCATGCTTCTCTCTCATCTGAGAAGAGGTTAGGCAGGCACTCAGCAGGCCAGCCTGCTAGCCTTTC